GATCAATATTTCAAAAGTTCAAATATCGGTACAAGAGCCCTGAGAGAGGTGGGAGTGGTCTAGAGTAAAAAGTTGCAACAACACAACATGAGTTATGTTAAGATTACAAAGCGGGGCCAAAGCAGTCCTACCGCTAAAATATCTATAGAAAAACAACACAAACGCAATTTAGTGTTTTAAGTTCACTTATCTAGAAGAGCCACCGTATTTCTGTGTTAATCCATTATTCATCCTCATGTTGTTAAGTTTTCGTTTAAACGCTTAAAACGGCGTGTATGAAGCATTTATTGCGAGAGGGGTTTAATGTTGTACACATGAATAACTCGCCCAGACGGTGCCACCCATAGGATGGCGGGGTGGGCCCAAAAGGGGAAGAAGTTGTAAGTTTGAAAAGGCTACTCTTTAAATGAAAGAATGGACAGGGAAATGCGAGACCCAGAAATGGGTTTCATCTTGGAATATGTATGCAAAGAGTGCACCTGCTTCGAAAAAGAACATCCTTGTGCAATGTTTATATATCGTTCTGTAAGTGATGGATGTGCCCCACATGAGCAGAGGAGAAGCAGGGGCCCAGAAGGTGATAACATTCTGCCATTGGTAGTTTGGATTAATTATAACTAGGTGGCAGTTTAAAATGCCGATATATTTTTCTTGTAAATCAATCTCACCTCACACTTGCTTGTTTGTTTGTTTGTTTAGTATTGTTTAACGTCCTATCAATAGCTATGGTCATTTAAGGACGGCCTCCCCTGTGTGCAAGATCCATGCCGTGTGGTGTATGCGTGTGAATTTTGGAGAGGCTGCGATATGTTCGTGTTTGTCTCTTTGTGATAGCCCGGAACTGATGCCGACTTTATCGTGCTACCACAATGAAACATACTGCCGAAGACACCCAGCAGGACGCCCCACACGGTCACATTATACTGAACCAGTCGTCCCACTCCTAAATCGCTGAGCGTTAAGCAGGAGTAAAACTGCCATTTTTACAGACTCTGCTATGTCTCGGCCAGAGGACAGAATCCAAAGCCCTTCCTCACAGGGGCGATCGTTCAACTAAAGGCCAAAAGCGAGGCTTGGTCAAGGGAGACATTAAGAAGAAGAAAGTTGTTTAGAAAGAAGAGAAAAGATAAGATCCCAAATTTAGTCGCCTCTTACGATCATGAAATGGGGGCAGCAGGTACAATTCTTACATCATACATGTATGGACCCACCTCACACTTGCAGGTCGGGAGCAATACCCAGCAGGGAATAGTAGCCCTTTGGTATGTGAAGGGATGGACACGGAACCCACTGCCTTTCTCTAAAAGGCGAATTTTTAACACTTAGGCCAAAAGTGAGGTACAGAGTAGTGGTCATAAGAGACTTTGATATACAGATAGAGTATGGGGTTGAGGGATATAGTAAGTTTCTGGTGTTCCTAGACCAGGTCTATTTCCCGAGACGAAGCCGAGGGAAATAGGCATGGTTCAGGGACACCAGAAACTTGCTATATCCCTCAACCTCATACTTTAACCGTTTTATTATACCGATACACACACTAGAGAGATGGTTTTAACTAAAACATATTTCTAAACCATAAGCTGTATAGCTTCACGTCTCAACTACCCTTTTGATTGCAATGGAGCCAATTGTTTCCGAGTTCGATATCAAGCTCCGCCCACCTCGCGCGTCTCTTCCGAGTTCGGTATCAAGTTCCGCCCACCTCTCGCCTGATTGGCTCGGCGGAAACACCCGAGTGTAGGTGTGTTTTAGTTCCCAGACTAACACAAAGGACTAAAACACAGTCAGGCAAAAGTAGGGATATATTCGATTTAACCAATTACTTTTATATAGAGTAAATAAAGTAGAGGTATAATAATACATGTTCGATAAAATATGTTCAAGGAATGGCATCAAACACACGAACCTATAAAACACAAGTGTCAATCTGTTCACATGTATATTAAAATTTGCTATGGTTAGTTATAATGTTTGGAATATAAATCAGTGTTCGGTTAATCTAGAATGGTAGAAATATTTTTTTAATTGAAGGTAAATGCAAATCTAATACCTATTGTTTACCGTTCGTGACATGCTCTGTATTGATGGTGGCCTTTGTTTTTCAATAAATAAGATTGCATGAATGACCCATCTGGGTGTTTGCAGGGAGAACGGTGCCTTTCCCTACGTAATGGGAGCCCGCTGTTGATAACGATAGAACATTTTGACAGAAGTATTAAGAAAATTTTCCTGCGGTAAACAAAATTCCCCTTCGGTGTTGTGATAGAGCCAAAACGGGGAAATACTTGTTATATAGTATTTATTTAATGAGAATATTTTGCCATAAATGCTTCAATCTTCGAATGAGCGATACATGGCCTAATGGCAGAATGTTTTGATACCAAAGTTTGGCTGGAATAGAGTCACTGTGGACTGCTCGAAATACTCTGCCAGGTTTATCAATGAATTTGAAATGCCTAATGTTCACTTACGTGGCCCGTAACAACATGACCTAACTCTGCAATGACCTTAGATAACTCACCGAAACAAAACACTCATGATAACATACTTAAGTTTCCTCGATGAACGATCGAGGTCATCGGTGAATACCAGTCAGCATGTTTATAAGTACGCACATAGCACATTCTCTAGGTGTTGTTGAGTATCTTATCCGTCTGCAATGTAGCTTGATACCTTTACATTACAAAAAGGTTTATCATGCTATCTGCTGCCTACTTGACTCGTGAGTAAATACCGTTTATCGTTATCTCGATGATAGCGTAGGTCATTAGAGAAGAGTGTACACAGATGTTTGGATCGCTTGTCATTCTCTAAGTCAAATAACATCACCACAAGGGGTTGCTTTGCTTATCAGTGGCATTTTTGGTACAATCCAATGTCCCTTGTTTTGAAACATATTGAAATGTCACACCGTTCTCATATAGACCTCGCTATTTTTTGCAGTCAACCTGCCCTGCTACATATCATCTTGATATGACACACTGTTACGAGATCCCCTACGTTTCAATATAGTTGGGATAAGTGTTTCCTTACAATCAATGTATCGCACTTATAAAGTAGACATAAAGTTTGTATATTTAATCAAAATATGTATTCTTTATTATTGATTAACAACTTGCATACTGTTATATGGGAAATCTGCCCAACATATATTTTCCAAACTCAGCCATTATGGGTAGAAATTTGCCGATGTCGACAAACACGTTTGTACATAATTATAGCTAGGTCAAATCCTGAAATCAAACGCGTCAATCAAATGCTTTTGATGTCTTCGGTATATATCCACACTTATGATCAATAACAATGTATAGTACTGAGGTCGATAACGGCCTTCACCTTTGCTATCAGCAGACGACAGTAGGAATATATCTAGGCATACAAAGAACGGCAAGGATTGGGAATCGAGTGTTCATCTCCCTTCTGCTTAAGGAACCTTAGAGAAATAGAACCAACTTTCTTATTCTCCTCTCGTTTCTTTCGGCGGTTTGTGCCTAGGCATTCGTCCTCGTATAGCCCTTGCTTTTACGATGACGCTTAACCAAATACAAACAAACAGAGATAGATAAATAGATATATAGATAGGTTAGAGGTCAACTTCACGTAATCGTTGAAAACGTCCCGTGTTACTATATGTTTTTTGAACACATCACACTTGCCTTGGTATATTCAACATGGAGGTAGTTATGCTCTGCTTAGGGTTATTATCTCTAGTTGATGCAGTGAATACCCAAACTGACGAAACCCACAAGAATTTACAAAATAATAATATACCTTTACAAACTGTGGTTCAAAAAATAGTAACCGAGTTTGGAGTCCTTCAAAAAGAACACAAGGAACTCGAGCGTAAATATTCTGCATTGTTGGTGGAGTTGAGCTTTCTAAGGTATGTGATAGTGATTGTTATCAACACATACATACTTATTACATGTACCGCAAACATTTCATCTTGCATTATTAGTATTTTGTAATATAATACTGACATAAAGGGCCTTTTGCTGGCTTTAATTTATAAGTTTAATTGTTTCCGTAACTATACCTTGATGATACACCTTTACATTAACTTAGCTTGGAAACCAGTCCGAGGTGGTTGGAAAATTACATTGCATTTTGTAAAACTAAGCTTCATTTTATATTTTTCTTGTCCAGAAAACCTGCATATCTGATCAGAAGGTATCGGTGTACTTGATCTGTATATTAGGTTAATTGTGCAAACACTAGGCTTTATTTGGTCCTTGAATGTACATGATGGTCCTAAGATAATCATGCCGAGCATTATGTATAACCATGCTATTCTATTGCATTGTAATGAAGTGCTGAAATTGCAGGAGGTGTGGTCACTTAAATTTATCCTTTATAGCTAAGATGTTTGTTGTCAGTATAACACAAATACCTTTCTTCAAAGTGTAAAACGATTTTTATCGAGGGGAACAAAACGTCATACGATATAATTCTATGCTGTTTAATGTATAATTTATTCTCTTGTTACTTCGTGTAGTACATGTAAACGATTTATCAATGGTCATTATATAAGTTAAAAAAATATACATATTTGTATGTTGTTGAACATTTATAGTGTAAGCAAGAGCAAGTTTAACAAGCAACGGACTTATCGATTACGTAAGCTTCGAGAATAATTACAGTATTTCATTCATTGTCTTTTCTCGATGTTGACCAGCTCTCAAGCACAACAACCTCCACAACACCAAAGTAGCTCTAGGAGTCACTTGAGTACGCAAATATTTTTTTTGATGCTTAAAGGGTAAGGTAAGGTTAAAAACAAAGGATATTTACTGTTTATAAAGAAACTATAACCAATAAACATCACTCTCATATATCATCAGCTACATGGATCACGAAAATGCTACACCAAAAGCGTACATTTACTATGATGCAGACATAAGCAGGACAGGACTGTTTCACCTGAAGTAAAAGAAAATGACGAACCAGTCGGACAGCCCACCAATCACCATTTTTCCAAAACTAGAACAGCTGTTTCCAATATGCAGACCAACTCACGTGAGTATCATTTCCAAAATATCATCCGATTGTTTTCTGTCATAATGTTGCTACTGTGTTGATCAGTCTTTTTGTACTTATGAAATGAAAATTAGTATCTTTCACACGGACATGACATTTTGGTGAGGTGAGATTGAAATGGACCTTTGTTTCTTTGACCGGGCTAAGCAATGCCCAACGTAACTTGCCATCCATACGAAAGACTCGTAATCATGTGTCCTCCATGACGAACATAAAAACTATAACAAACCAATTTGATTGTTTTGTTTACTGTGTATGTGTCCTAAAGAGGATAACTGTGACACTTAACTAAAGCTATCAAACAATTTGATTTTTTTCTTTAGTCTGTACGTGTCTAAAAGGGGATAAAGGTGACACTGGATCACCGGGGCCGAGAGGACAGAATGGCTATAACGGCACTGATGGAATAGACGGTCAGTAACCAAGAGATCCTGTTATGTAGGTCAGGTGTATTCTTTGTAAGTAGCGGTCAAATTTCAGGCGTGAACTTATTGCAGATAAACTTTGTTTATGTTGGCAAACACATAATACGAAAAAGCGAATTGTATAAATCGAACTAAATCTAATGTGACGGCACCCCAATTAGTACAATTTTGACAGTTTTCCATTGATATTTAAAGTTCCAGATCTTGTATCTCGAGATTTATTGATTCTTGACAAGCATTGCCCATGGTGGCTTATTTTCAGCAAAAGTTTAATACTAGTCATTTAATTTCTTAAAAATAGAACGCCTAACTCGGAGTGAGAGTTTATCCATTTCATCCATTTCATCCGATTAGTACACAAACTGTTACTCAATATCAGTGATTATGAAACATTTTTTCATTTTAATCAGATGATTGCAAATTGCAACGAAATATATTGATTTTATAAACGCAATACTAAACTACTATTGTCATATATGCAAAAAGTCAACATTTAAAAAGGCATTCAATTAACCCTCTCATCGTCGACGTACGTCGTATCTTTCTGTTTTTCTGACATCTTTACTTTGAGGTCGTTGTATACTATTAATTGTCGCCAAAAACAAAATGGTAGACATGTTGGTAAAAACCTTAACTATGGAACGTACACACATTGAATATCAGTGTGCACTATTTGAAGCTTTTCCTATTTATGTACAAATCTGGTTGGTTGACGTTAAAGCGTTCAAAGATATCAATATATATCTTTTGTAATTTTACATCAAAATGTCAAAAACAACCAATCATTGTTAAAGTGTATACGCATACTTTATTAGGTCAAGCAGGTGATCGCGGCGTTAAAGGAGATCCAGGGATTCCGGGTTTCAATGGGGACGACGGGGTCGATGGTTAGTATATCTTAATCAACACAATAATACATTTATATTTTATTAATACACGGTCATTGTAATCGGCATAGGTTTAATGCTTATATTATATAATATATTTTATTCCCTTAATGGCAAACAATCTAATGAAAAATATTTACATTCTTTCGCTTAACCTTGATGTCATTAAGAAGGATTGGTTATATGTTGGTTAAACTTTTCAAAATAACCCCTCATATCTCGAGTGAAATTCCACCTATTGGACTGGTTATACTCGTATTTAGGCATGTTTGAGGCTCACGAGGCTTGCTAAAATATATAATTCAATTAAAATAAGTTAGAATGAGCACCATCATTTTTATAAAAAATGTTACATATCTAACATAACGAAAGAGTCATTCGCGTTTGAGGTAGTTTTGGATTGGTTACACTGCATTTCGAACAATTTATATAAACTTCAAGTGAATTCAGCGTTTGAATTAAGATTTTGTGACCTTATTATCCAAGCCTCTGTTGACACAGTCGTGTCGGTTAAAGTTTCCACACATATCTGAAGCAGTACTTGCGAGCAAGGGATGCATATACCAGTTAACGTAAAAGAGACTTAATGTCACCATGCTAACAATTTGGTATAAATCCATTGAAAGAGAGTAATGTTTTATTAAGAGAACAAAAAACTTCTATTTGCAAAACTGAATGATGGATTGTTTCAATGATCACTTATTGCGGTTGTCAGATATGAGTAGTTTGTTCTTACTTTTTATAGTTGAAACGTTGGTAATAAGTATAAGAAACGAATGTTTTGTTGTTGAAGATAATTTAAAAAATACATTAACACTTACAGGAAAATTACGTTTATATTTTTTTTGAGGCAAATGTATTTATTGTCTGTCATGATATACAAGTCCAGGAGGAAAATAACCAGCTTATCACATCCAGCATCTGTGTATAATTATAGGTGAGAAAGGGGATCGTGGCCTTAAAGGGGACGCTGGGGCGATTGGACTGCACGGACTTAAAGGGGACAAGGGAACAACCGGACCAAAAGGGGACGAAGGTAACCAGTATACTCATGTGTCAATTATATATATTAATATTATTATACAATCTTTTAACTAAGGAAAAAATGAGAAATGAAAGTTAGTTTTCACTGTGTTTTCATATGTTTGTTCAGAGAGTTTTGAAACCTTGTAACAGCTCCAATGTCCAAGGAAGACTGTGTCCACATTTAATGATATCTCCCCAGGGCCACTTTTAGGTTCCATCACTCTGAACTTTCATAACCTGGATCTCTGTCTTGTATTTTCTCCCCTATCTTCTCATTCAATACGTTAGTCCATTGTCTACATGCTACAGTGTGAAACTGAAATTTCAGAGAGACGGCATTCTAACTTGGTGCCAAACATCTGTGGATGCATGGTCTTCATTTAATCTGAGCTGTTCTGAGGAGCCAAAACCTTGAAATGAACAAAATAATTCAATCAACTCGTTCAAATATTCTTAAATGTTTTTATTCATTCTATCTCAATAATGAATAACAATGTAACTTTCAAATGAGCCCTTCTGTGTTGACGAGCCGTAAAAATTATAAGTTGGTGTTTTCCAAATCAAAGGAAGGATATTGTTACCATACATGTCGATAAATACTATACTACTTATGTGTAGTTTTCGTTTGTACGGATAACGGTTGTATGTTAATAAGGAATATAAAGAATACGGCAGAATTGTTTCCTCCAGTTTTCTGTATTTTGGGAAACAGTTATTAAAAGTTAGCAAATGTAAATTGAAGGGAATACTAAAATGTTGATGTTTGAACCCGATAGCGATATGGAAACTTATGAAGTTGTTATAGTAGTCTATAATGAAATCCCTCTTAGAACTATACAGCTAAACACCAGTTTACAAGCCGTTGCTGTTAGTGTTACACTCCATAGAACACTAACGATGTGTTAAATAAAACCGATCTTGATAATCCTCTTGCACAGCTCCATTCCTCTTTCATTCTATTAGGTCACAACAACATTTGTAGTTAGCCTTAAAATGAAAGGTTTTGCTTTGTTTTGTTTTGTTAACGTCCTATTAACTGCTAAGGTCATTTAAGGACGTGCCTCCATGTGTGTAGTGTATGCGTGCTTGCGTGTCTGTTTGCAGGATACAGGGTATGTTGGTGTGCTTGCCTCCTTGTGATTTTTATAGTGCTATCTCACTGAAATACCATGCCGAAGTCACCCAGCACAGCATTCCGCCCGGTCACACTATTCTGACAACGGGTAAAAAATAGAAGGGAGGAAATTGAAAGTTTATCATTTAAAGATAAAGTCTTCTGCATGTACATATTTGCACCCTGCATCCTGATACTGTGTGGAAGCGTTCTTATGATACAGTAATTCTTTGATAAACTGAAACGTAACGGGGAATAAACACAGGTGGAACGATCGGGTTAGATATTGCTATGATATCTAACAATAGAACAAAAAACTTAAAAAAATATTTCTAGATTAACATATATGCCCCCTAGTTCATCGTGTCGATTGTGCCTCATAGACGGACATAATCTATATACACAGATTCTTGTTATCACTGGTAGCCCATTTCGTTATTTGAAACATTATACCAGTTTTTAGTCTGAAAATGCTATACAATTGTATCAATGCCTATGATACAGAAATTCTTTGATAAACTGAAACGTAACGGGGGATAAACACAGGTGGAACGATCGGGTTAGATATTGCTATGATATCTTATAACTCAATTTTACCTGAAAAAGCCCTTGGTCGTTGCAGCAGCGGAATAAGCAAACTTTTAAGCAATAGAACAAAACACTTAAAAAAAATATTTCTAGATTAACATATATGCCCCCTAGTTCATCGTGTCGATTGTGCCTCATAGACGGACATAATTTATATACACAGATTCTTGTTATCACTGGTAGCCCATTTCGTTATTTGAAACATTATACCAGTTTGAAAATGCTATATAATTGTATTAATGCCTGTCAAAATCTCGAGATCAGGAAATGTAAATAATGATACAGCGAGACCAACCATCATTACAATGGATACAGGAGAATAGGACTATATCCACTTGTCACGTACTTCCTTTTTGTAGCCCTGACAGCGATTTGATTACTTATCAATCTCCCCTCTACCTTACCTGCCTCAATCTGTACTATACCGATGTAAACTGTAGGTCTAATATCCGGTCGTCTATTTCAGGCCCTTCCGGCCCATTGTCCAGGGTATGAAGTTTATTTTATCGCGTTGATGATACTGTTTTTAGAGACGTTATTTTATGCGACTTTAATCGGCAGCCAAAACTGTAGATTTATCTGAAAAGATCAGTGTCTATGTTGACCATGGTTGTCCAAATATTGAAGAAGTATACAAACCAATACACAATAACACGTACTATGATTTTGTTGATTGAAACAAATCAAATGTGGAAAATGAAAACCGCTGGTAGTATGTAAAATTATAATGGGAAATCGACCAAAATAGCCCTATTATTAAACTAAGGAGAATATGGATAATGCTTGCAAAAGAACCGAATGAGTATGACAAACTATGACCTTGGTCAAAGAAATAGAAACACAGTTTTTTTTAAGTAGTGTTAATACGAATCATTCTTTAAAACTTCATGGACTTTGTCCCAGCTTTAGGGATTGGGAATTATTTAAAGCGCCTGAGAGGAAACAGCTGTTTTTGTTACATAAACAAATATAGTAGCTTCCCGAACATCAAAGAGAAGGAGAGTTGAAGTACTACAATCATTTCACTGTTACGTGTATGTCAAACTCAAAACTAGTGCTTAATGACCTAAGCGGTTAATAGGACGTTAAACAAAATCAAAATCAAACCACCCGGTGAGGTATTGAAAAGGCAAAACGCGCTACCAAGGTGGTTTATTTATTCTACCACCTGTTGACTTAAAACTTCAACTTCATTTTATTTAGTTTCTCCCGCTCGTAATATATTTTGTAAGGTCAATGTACATTTGTGGGTAGCACATGGCATGGTGTGCAGTATGCACACGATGAGAAACTGTGCGGTAGCTGTCGCATAGTTAATTGACAGTTATTATGGTTGACATATATTAATGAATGACATGTGATTAAACATTATTTCGTATCTAAACTTCTATCTTACTTTATTTATGCAAGTTACCATATTTCAGTCAGAACAACATGATAAACTTTTTATCCCTCAGTAAATGACACATCATGTACCAAAATTGTTTTGAAACGACATGTATACGATCATATACATGAACGTAGTGTACACGCAGGTACAATGTTAACAAAACAGCCTAACCTGTTATCAGTTACCGGTTAACTACCAGGTAAAGGGTACATTTTTGAATCAGCAGTCAATCGTGAAAGGTCTGTGAAATTTCTATCCAAGGCCTAACATACAAAATAAACACAGGTAGTGTTAAGTTGTATGTTACAACTGCCAATTATCCAAGCAATTAACAATGTACGTGTATTAGTGCTGTAGCTAATACAACCTCATTATTGACTTTTGCAGTTATTGTAATAATGCGTATCATGCATTTCAAAATTAGAAAAAGTGCAAATTATACCAATTGTATCTTAAATAAGTATACGATGCATTCGAGCGTTCCGGATTTCCTTTTTATCCCGCATTGATGATTAACCAATCTTACCATATCGCACATAATTGTGTGTGCGGGTTTAGCCCACAATGGATGATTTTTAAATCGCGCAATTGTGCGTACTGAGATTTTGGTGCCTTTTGAGACCACACAACTATAGCAAAATAATTGGAATCAATAGGTCATTATAATTACATTACCATTTCTATATCGAAACTAAAACACCAGCCTAAAACAGGAAAGCATGTCAGGAACCATTTACAGTTAAACACGTTAAATCTTATCAAAACAGTAAATATCTTTCCAATTCTCATCTACCTGAAAACTGTTTTTCTCATCAAAATTACATAAATAAGCATTGTCACGCAATTAATGTGTTGTCTTTTTCTTCGTCGTTTGTTTCATTTCCATCAGCGTGGCTTGTCGGTCCTAATACCCTATTTGTTGATTGGCCATTATGAATATATTAATAATATAATATTGACATTTTACCATTGATTACAGGTAAAGAAGAAACCCGGCTATTACTTCCATATGTTTTAAATTACATATATTGTTCCGTTTGTCGGTATTCTCCTGATTCGGAACGTTTATACGTTATGTGTAATTTATCTTAACAGGAATCCCCGGCGCCAAAGGAATTGTAGGACCTAAGGGACAAAAGGGCGAGCCTTATCAACGCGCAGTCGGTAAGTTATGTAGAGATTGCACTGACTGTTTATCTGGTTACATATATACCCTTCTTTATATAGCAATGAGTACTACTTAGTGTATCATATTCAATGTTTTACTAAATATATTTGACAAGCACACTTTGTTTTTGTTCAAGATACAACGATTGCATTCACTGCTGGAGTCATTCAACAGCCCGATATGCACGATAGCAGATCTATCATATTCAATATGGTATATACGAACGTTGGAGGCGCCTATAACAAAGAAACTGGTCGTTTCACATGTACTATTGCAGGTTTGTACGTGTTCACATGGTCGACAGAGGTGAATCAGAGTCGTTATATAAAGTCACAGCTTACAGTAAATGGACAAAATCGTGCATATTTACAAGTTAGTGCAGGCATTTTTTCGAATAGTGGCTGTGCAACAATTATCCTTCAACTAAATATCAACGATGTTGTCGATGTCACTCCAAGTATGTTCTCACATGGAGCCTCGTTGGGGGCATCTTCTTCATTCTCTGGACATTTACTGTATTCGATATGAACATTTATAACAGATATATGTTGACAATCAGATAATTAGTAGATACGTTCTTTTCTGTTCCTTTTCAAACAAAGGACTTACAAAATAAAAGCGTTTTTAGCAATAAGGAATGTTGAATGTTGATAATTTGTATCGATCAAAAAAGCAAGCTGATGCGGGTATCATTTTATTTATTAAAGTCATCTATATCGATTAATAACACATATCCATGTAAAACAGCGTGCAATTCTTGATTACAACATCGTCTCGTATGATCGAGACATAGTAATCAGGACAGAGAAATGCGTCGGGCAGTTTGCATCATCACAACGGCTAAGTTATGAACCGATAGTGTCAACAGATGATAAGGCCATTAAGAGCTCATTTAAAATGCTGTCTTGCTGACATGTTATAACATAGACATGGTTGCACCCAGTGAAATTGCTCTAACAACTGAAGCGTTGTGATTCTTTTCTGAAACGATGTTAAAAGTAGTTTTATTTGTCACTCAGCGAGACATTTTTCTGTCGTCATCATAATGGACCCCACAAGTTTGTTTTACAACTTCCATAACCATCTCTCTTATCACCATTGGTTTCCGTTACGCAGTAAGCATAATAAGTGTCTTTCAGCATAAAATGAAGACCAGTGAAAGACTACACTAATTGAAAATGCACATCGTGTACTACTTGGCAGTATATGACAGGGTAGAATTATACAGTGCCTTTGGAATAGTTAATTATTGAGTTCTCACTCTAAAGTGTCGGAAATAATTCTGCACTATCACGAATACACAACACAAATAAAAGTCCGTCCTTAAATGACCCTAGCTGTTGATAGGACGTTAAACCCTGTATAACAGCCAACTGCATTATCGTAACGAGGAAATCATCAAATCACCGCTTACGGCACACATGTATACATGCGTACATTATACAAATAGGGACACGACCTTTAATGACCTGAACAGACAACATTCTTTCCAGGGAGAATGAAAAGTATAATGAGATGAGATATAATAGATTAGCACCAGAAGGAGCAAGACTAACCTACTCTTTCCGTACCGGAACCCCGGTCTGGATTCCGTGCCGTGCGTCCTAACTTGACTCACCCACGCACATATAACGGATGCATTTTTAGACGAAGTGTAACTGCATCAAGAAATAAACAGGTAACCATAAATCAATGTTATTGTTTCATATCGTTGTTCATAGACATAAACACCCTCATTTTCGCAGCATTATGACTAACTTGCAGCTGATTATGACTGAGAATCTGACATTTGTCCGGCAACGAGCTACATTGTTTTCAAAACAACGTTGTAGTGCGGGTCCCAAACGGGTATAGATTTAGGTTACAAAGTATGGAAAGAACTAAAGGAGCATAACAGGACAAATCACTTGAAAGGAGGCAGGGACATTCAAGCGAACCAGCTAAAGGAGCATAACAGGACAAATCACTTGAAAGGAGGCAGGGACATTCAAGCGAACCAATCATATCCGCAGCAACTTTTTCGTAATGCTTCTTAGTGTCTTAATTAGCAATATATTGCCTTTGTTCAAAGCGGAAAGGTTATTGGTGCCGTCCCTAAACTGGGACAAAACAGGGGAAAAAATGTACTCATTGCCCTTTGATTGACGTTAAGTTTTAACACATGAGCTGTAAATAGAGTTTAGTGTTTGATAAACACACACATATTGATTAAACCTTAATCACAAAGGTTCAAATGAATTATTCAGGTCAGAATCTATGACATATCACAAATATCAGAGATGTAATTTCATCCTCAAATACATCTGGACAAATACATGCCTCTATTTGTTCTAGGTAATCGATACAGTCCATTATAATTGTTAATATTTTCAGATTGTTAACGGCCCATCAACACAAACGGAGTTTTTTTCCTATAGCTTGGATACCATTAACCGATTTTAGGTTATACAGAGTATTATTTGTTTTCTACGCATTGATTTCAATCATTTGCCAATTTGACCTTACACAACATATTATCAACGGCCTAAAATTTATAAAATAAGTTTAAAATCAACAGTTAGTAGCAAGAAAGCCGCTTTGACGGCGCGATCTGCCTTTTCATCTATCTGGTATTCCTACATGACCGGAAACCCATCATGAAATAATTTGAAATTTAGAGGAAATAACATGTAATACCATTAATATTTTACTAATTGAAATATTCGTCAAACATTTGTTACGAACACTCGACAGAAAAGGTAGGGAATCAGAGTTGATAATTGATTTCGGTACATCATTGGATTTTATGGGACCGAGGGCGAAATGTTTAACATGGGCTTCTGCAGAGAATACTGACGCATCGTTGTATCTTTACCTAGCATTGCTGCAGCGACTTTATGATCAACTTTCGAACTATAAGTATAAAACGGGTGAAAGTCTTTATATTTCAGCTGTAGTTTTAAAAAAGGCGAAAGATCCAGTGTAAGATTTTACTCATGACTAAGTGATTGGACTGTGTCGACATTAATTTGGGCATTTTGCAGAAGGGACAAAATTCAAATACCAAAAGTTGGAATAGGGTTTGCTTTGTTTTGAAACAGGGTATTGCACTTTGAATTTTTTGAACTGCATACTGCAATGATAGATCTCTGGACTATTATATAATGATGGTACGTTTGCTCCCACGAACAGAATCGCAGCTGGTGGGGTTTTAAAGGCTCAGAGTGCGAGTCTTGGACCCTGGTGATGTCCATAGACCGAGACAAACGAAATTACATAAAGCGAGTGCTTCTTTTTCTCTGCTTCGTGCTCGGCTTTAAAAGATGTCTGCTACGACTGGGTAACCCGTTGTCAGTATGTTTGTCACAAGACTTTATTCACGTTATGACATTTAAGTTCGATGGTTTGGAATTTACGTTTAATTGTCCGATCATCCGTGTTCATCGTCTTCAAATGACCGATTGATTGACATTTCAGCGACATGGTAAAAATGACCGTAAGTGGTTCCCTCCTTATTGACATCGTCTTCTGGATCCTAGCTGTAGAGAAAACACAAAACTCTAAATAAAAAAACAATAACACAAACACCTTATGTTTATTTGAGTTTCCCTTATGTGTACGCATCCTCGCACTCTCTACAGACACACATTGGCACGTTTACTTTACGCACAACTTGCAATAAACAGCAGCAAAAAAGATGGAAAGAATTCATGTCATTAAAACTTATATATTACAACATTCAGAAAGGCCTCTCGAACTTGTCCTGTTGTCATTTGTTTTTTTTAAACAAATGGATTGGACAACAGGCAAGCCTATATAAGTCCTCTCCGATAGGTACCACATATATACAAGTCAGAGTGAATAAGATAGATAGTAGATATCATTTGGAAAATGATATATATATATATAAAAGAGAAATATATTTTACAATGAAAGCATCGATCGGGTAGTATTACACCAACATTCAGAAAGTAGAATAATTACTTCGGGTAACGTATGATAATTAAATATGTAAACATCTACTCAAAAATATACAAACTTGCATACCTGCATGCCTACACAACATATACTGTCTCTTGCATACACACACACAAGCACGCATACACTACACAATGGAGGCACGTCCTAAAACACCTTAGCTGTTAATAGGACGTTAAACAAAACTAAACCAAACCAATGCATACCCACATGCCTACATATTACACACACCCTCACACATACAACACATCTATATTATGTGTGTAATCAGCCTTAGTAAAACAGTTTAGAGTTACTACGTGTATTTATCAAAGTGATAATACTCAGACTGTACAATACTGAGGTGCACAGTAGATATCAAACATTCAATTATGGATACATATGAATCTTTTAAATCGTTTGGTAGTATTTATATTGTATTTGATAGTTAAAATAAGTTCACAAATATCATAAAACAGGGTATTATCACCTGAAGTTAACAGAGTTGAATTTCATGAAGTAAAAACTTAGAATTAGAGTAATTAAGATTAAAAAAAGTAATGATCAGAATTTTCACTTCGTGTATCAGAGGCACAAACCTGATCTGGGATAAGATGATCAATGTTGTCACTTCTATAGATATGTCAGAAATTTTAAGTACTTTAACGCCGAATGGAATATTGTATAGGATGAATCTAAGATGGACGAAACAATCTATAATACTTTGACATATTGTATTAATTACCAAATTCTAAAAATTGTTATCGCATGTGTGTCTTACGTTCATCTTTGATATGACGAAAGTATTACCAATAACAGGTAATAGCCTCTAGATGAAAAATTTACATGATCCTTTGAAATTAAACACGTGGTCATCCCATAAGGTTAACACACACGAAACGAAACCGAACGCAAATGTATTATAGGAGAGTTCATTTATACTTTCTCCGGGATCGATCGGCTTCAGTTAACACGAATATATATGCATGTACTGTGGATAGGTGGTGATTTGATAAAACAAATAAAACCTATTTTTATGATTACATGATTGCAATCGTCCTGAACATAATCAACCAAAACTGGATATTATTTTGTTTTATTCGGAGGACTAGATATACATTTGTTTTATAAAATGCTGGTAGTTAATGATAGCTCAGTTGTCAAGGCATGCAAATAGCATATAACTGATAAGAAATAGTCACACGGTGGCATGTACCTGGTAAACACGGTAACATCTTTGCATGAGCTCATAAAACATGCAAAAGGAAAGCTGACATTATCAGGTGTTTTTCTGACCCAGTTTCTTAATCGCTACACACACAAAATGGAAGGAGCTAAAATTTGGTTGGTGGTGTTAACCTGGATAATTTCCTCAGCCCAAGCTGACGAAAATAAGACAAATTTGCAAAATCAGATTACATCCCTCCTAGACATTGTTCAAAAGGTAGTGTCGGATTTCGATAGTCTTCGCCAACAACACAGAGAACTCGAGCATCAATATCATCTTCTGTCGGATGAATTTCGCTCACTAAGGTAAGTGTAAGCTTTATCAACTTAAATTGATCATATAAATACGAATGGGACAGATACTTCATTTGAAGATTGGCTAGAAAAAATGATAACAACTACTGATATAAAGTATGTTTTTAAATGTTTGTGTTCAAGATTTAATCACATACCTTCAACGAAAAGTGTCAGAACTGATGAACAAGCAAGCCAACCCGTCCATCCAAAGTTTGCGCACAGTAGATCAGCTTTTCTAGCACCGCAGGAAATCGCACGTGAGTGACATTTGCCTTTTCTGCATTCAAACACATTACTTACGTTCCAGTTTATAGTAAGAATATTGTAAACATGGGTAATATTTTTTTCAATAAATTACCCACACAATATTGCATGTATCACAATTTAAAGAGCAAGAAGCCAAGAGGGTCTGTATCGCTCTCACCTGGATAATAAGCAACCTCTGGAAAACATTCTCTTAAAATATTTCACTGCAACTATTTCCAAAAATTGGCCCTGTCTCACACCAGTCTCTCATTGCGTCCCTTCTTGCTGCCTCACTGAAGCGGTCTATGTTTTTTACATTTACCTTAATTTCCCCTATTGGGCCTTACCCCTCTATTTCAGGGTAACACAAGACAAGATATCTCTTCATTCCTCCTATTGAGCGCCGCTCGCCATTTATACAAAATGTAGGTTCTATTGCCGAGAGTTACCATACAACAAATTTGATCGCAATCCCTCCAATAGTAAGGTAGCGAATATCACTCCCTATTGCAGCCTTTTAAACTAGAGAGGTTCCACTCTCCGTTTACCCAAATGAAGTCCCTTTTTTAAAATGATTTTCTACACAAAATTTATACAAAAAATTGAGGCCCTTTGGTCAAGTGATGCTTAACACCCTCATGCAATGGGGGCAGGCAGCAGGTACATTTCTAACGCCCTACCTGCAGGGACAAGAAGAAGGATTTTGAAGATTTTCAACAGTTTCCTATATATGGCCACACATCCAGGATTTGGGGATCGGGGGCACACCCTCCATATCAAAAATGTGTCCCCTTTATTTAAGGATGCATTACACCAAATTTGTTTCGTTTCCCTAAATTCATACAGAAAAAGAAAGATTTTAAAAGTGTATCCCCATAAACTTTGCCTATTCCTCGAGAGGGGCCACAGCCTCCGTTTGTACGAAACGTTACTTCTCTTGTCCAAAGATGTTGGTTAAAATCCCTCAGTTTGTGCATGAGAAAAAGGATTGTCCTTTTTGTGTACCTTTCATATAACCACTCGGAGTGTCATTATTGCCATCATATTCTTGACAAGTAATTACCAGTTTAAAATATTGTGTTAGTTTTTAAAGCTCCATTTTGATACTGTTGTAACTGCTAGTTTCAACGATATAATATATGATCGTTATTTTCGATGTTTCGTTTTATACTGTTTAACGTCCTATTAACAGTTAAGGTCATTCAAGGAAATTCCTCCCTGTGTGTTGTGTGTAGGTGTGTATGTGTGCTGGAGACCGGGTATGTAGGTGTATTTGCCTCCTTGTGCTCGAGCGAATCTGATGCCGACTTTATTTCCGATGATGCAGTTTGTCTAAGCATTGTATTCTGATGTGATGTTACAAATGTACGGTATGGTTTTCATCTTTTTATGTGTAGCTGGGTGACTGACATATTCTCCTGTGTGTGCTTATTGTGCTAGTGATCGGTTACGACTTTTTCATTTATTTTCTCGATCAACATATCAAGGTGACCTGTTAAATTTAAATGATTGACTTGAAAGTTGGTGATAAAACTTTTTATTTTTAATATTTAATGAAAAATTAGATATTCTTAAATTGCCATGTGTCATAGTTTTTCGGATTTAGTTTTTAATGTTTCCCGTCAGCTAGCCCTGCCTGTCTTTTATAATGATAGGCCGTATTAATATCGTTTTATAACTACAGGATATAGTGGGGAACAGCAACGTGGCTAAAGGGAGATGAGGATATGTTGAGGTCTACCAAAGCGTGTTGAAGACGTTAGCATTCTGCGGAAAGTCATCATTCATACCAGTTTAAATTGTGAACATGTAACAGGGATATAATTAATGTATTTGCTTGTATGTATGTTTGTTTACTAAGTCCGTCCGTAGCGCGTCGACTGTCCATGTATATATTTCATACTCCGAGTAATGTAACTACCGCGTCCGCGTGTTGTATTCTATACTGTGATGTTATGTCTATAGGTGTATTGTGGTATTCTGCTCGTTACGTATGTTGATATGTTGGTATACCATACAGTTGTTCATTGGTCAGTAGTGTTACGTCAAGTTGTGTATGCGTTTTCATTGGTTCGTTCTGGGTGGTCAGTTTTGGCGCGTGTTTCTTTGTGGGCAAATAAATCACGCTAGTACCTTTTGAGGACTCGTAGTTGACGGACGGAGAGATGTAATGTAAGTGTTTCTTTGTCTTTGTGTAATACCCAACGTATATGTATTATGTGTTTTATTTGAGATATAATTCTATTTGGATCTAATCTAAGTATAGATGATTTGTTATTCCTTTAATAAGAAATCAGATATGATTAATGTATTTTTTTATATGAAAACGTAATAATGGAGGTGATGTAATTTGATTTTTTGTAAGAGGCGTTATTACGTTGTGCCCATTTGACTAAGGTTCGATAAATTTATTTAGATGTCTTTTATTTTAATTACAGTATATCCGTATTGCATACGATTGAAGAAGGCGTCGTAATTATACAAATAGATAGTAGCCAAGGCCTTGTGCCACACTCAGGTATGCTATTGTGTTTTTTATGTAAGAGTATATATATAGTATTGATTTGAGAAGGTATAGGTCGCTAGACTGCTAACTGTGAATTTAATATATTGTCCAGTAACTTTGTTTTGAGTCAAATCTTCAGTTTGATTGTATTTCATAAAAGTTGTAATTGTAATGTGTATTGCCTTATAGTTGATTTGTAAGGGTAAAAGTTATGAAATCGTGTAAGAGTTATTTCCCTTGCATTTGTACTATTAAATATGATTATGTGTGTCTATTTTATATATATATATGACTGTAGCTTGTACTTTGTACTTGTTGCAGGGTTCTTTTGGTTTTTACAACGAGCAATAAAATGACAGTGAACAAAACCCAGAGGAGTTGTCCTATGTCTCACAACAAAACCACCTCTACTACAATGGAGCCTCCAGTGAGCTGTCATATTGAGTGAGTACGACGATTCCGATCTACTTGTCTACAATCTCCGTTCGTCTTGACACTCGGATCTTTCCGGATATTTCCGGGATGATTTACCTGTGAGCATCACTGCGCATGCTGTTTTCAGACCGTCGACTTCCTGTTTCCTGTTTCCGGTAAAAACATCCGTTTTTCCGACAACGATACTTTGTGAATGTGACTTTTGGAGTTTTGGGACCTACGTGGACATTGACATTTGGTAAACTATTGCTGCATCGAAAATATTGACTGTATTGAACATTATTTAGCTGTAATTGTGCGTTTAAATATTTAGAATAATTAATTATCTTGTAAAATTATTTATTTTCACTTTGCGTTTATTTCTCATGATTATTTTTCTGAATTCCCTGTGTTGTGTTTACTTGCGTGTGTATACATGAGTACGTGTTGACATAACATGACTTGGACTTAGGTTGTATTGTGCTTCGGTCATCTAGTTCAGTGACAGTTGGGAGTTTGGATTTGTGACTTGGAGTATTTATTCATACACATTATAAGGTGAGTTGGGAGTGTTTTTTTTTTCAGTGGTTATAATTTTTTTGTGATATATATTTTTTTTTCTTCTTTTTTCTTCTGGAATTGTAGTTGTAGTTTTGACTTTGCGTTACAATTCGCGTTACACTTCGCGCCGTTTAACGATATAGTAAACAATCGCAAGCCGTGTTTCTTATTTCGAATTTACATTTTTTTTTCAGATTCCAGACCGTTGATATTTAGAGTTCCGGTTTGTATAGTTATTATGATATTTTTTTTATCGGATTTAAATTTTCAGGATGACAATTTTCTAGGTGGCGGCAGGGCATGAGTATCTGAGAAGAACTACATATTATAGTTCTACATATATGTGCTTGCAGTGGAGAGTCTTGGTATTTAGTTGAAATAAAATAATACAAGTCTACCCTCATTAAGGTTTAGTTAAGCTACAAATATCCCCATCCCATGTGTTCATATTTACTTAATAACTGTTTGTATTACCTCATTTGCCTGTGTGTATTAACCTACAGATTTTAACATGGCTGAGGAGATGACAGATCAGGAAATTGAGTTATTGGTAAGTCATTTAAAGGCAATGAAAGTTAAGCCTAAGGTGGATACACTAGATGATTTTCAGGCATGGATGAAGGCACAGAGTGGAGGTACTGAGGAAAAGTTGGAGGATAGTGCAGACTCCAAGGCTGGCATTAAGGGTCAGACTATGTATACCCCATCATCTATCCAGCATTTTCCGAAGATGATTCATTTCCCCGGAGACACCAAGAAAGATGCTTCATATGATGTGTGGAGGAGTGAAGTGGCATGCATTATGAAGGAGGGACATTCAGACCAGGCCATTTCACAAGCTATCAGAAGTAGCCTCAGAGGAGAAGCATTGAAGATACGCTCCAGATTATCCCCTGATGCGAGCATTTCACAGATTTTGGCCAAGATGGACAGCGTGTATGGGATAGTGGAGCAGTCAGAGATGTTGTTGGCACGATTCTACAGCGCCAAACAGACACCTGAGGAGGAAGTATCAGCATGGAGTTGCCGGGTGGAAGACTTGCTCAACAAAGCCTCTGAAGGTACTTACATGGATGACATGAGGAAAGATTCTATGCTACGCACCATTTTTTGGTCAGGACTCCAGACGAAGCTGAAGGACATAACTGGACATCTATATGAAAGGATCAGTGATTTCGACAAGCTGAGAGTTGCAATTCGTCGGGTGGAGCAAGATCATGCATACCATATACCAGAGGAAAAGAAGAAACCGACTGCATCCGCCAAATCCACTATTGAGGTCAGCAAACCACCACCCAAGTCGGAGTTGGACGAGATTAAGGGCATGATCCACCAGCTTGCAGCAGATGCAACCGGTTAGAACAGCGAAATCCTGGGAGAGATCCTCCAGCTCCCCGGGGTCAACGCAACAGAGACCGCAAGTCCTACCAAGGTTATCGCAACCCGGGACATGGTGGTGTTGATAATTTGGCTAGGGATTTTCCGGAACCCACCTGTTATCGTTGTGGCCAGGAAGGACATATAGCCTTGGGATGCAGAGTACGTTTGGATCATTTAAAGCAGGATCCGTTAAACGACAGCAGACCTATGTCGGCGGGCAAACGTTAGGTCTTAGAGGTATTAACCATGCCCAGCAAGTCGATAGGAAACCGGCAGACCTGGTTGGAAGCACTACAGAAGTTCCTGTTATTGTCGAAGGAGTTTCGGCTAAAGCGTTACTTGACACAGGCTCAACTGTATCAACGGTCAGCAAAGCGTTCTATCTCCAACATCTTAATCATTTGGAGATCAAGCCCTTGGACACCATCCTTAAGATTGAGTGTGCTGATGGACAGATGTTGCCATACGAGGGGTTTGTGCAGACCGAGCTTACTTTTAGCGGTACAGGTTTGGGGGAAGAGAACAGTAGACTTCTGGATTGTCTACTCTTGGTTGTACCACCTAGCCCTTACAACTCTAGTGTGCCACTTTTGGTTGGAACCAATCTGCTGACAGGTCTGATGGAGAAGGTTCAGGAGGAGTACGGTGCAACATTTTTACAGAAGGCAAGACTGGTAAGCCCAATGTACTTAGCCTTCAGATGTATCACACTTCGGGAGAGGGAGCTCAGACGATACAAGGACCGATTAGCAGTTGTGAGATGTGCTTTGACGGAACCTCTGACTATTCCGCCTAACACGGATATCACTATTAAAGGATACATGGACAAAAGCTTGGCCTACCCTCCAGTTTGCGCCTTAGTTCAACCTACTCCTGGTTCTAGCATTCCGGATGATTTAGATGTTGTGCCAACCATTGTGCCGTATCACTTTGACCAGAGGCCTGTTATCCCGGTGCACATTAGCAACCTGTCTACAAGGACCGTTACTATTCAGCCTCGAGCCCTGTTGTGTGAACTCCAGCCAGTGACAGTTGAAGATGTCAGCCAGATATCATCGACTGATGAGCTTGACGATGTTCTCTGTAAGGTGGCGATAAACACAGAGGACCTTAGTGAGGGACAGGTCATTAGAGTAAGGGAGCTGCTGGAGAGATACCGGTCAAGTTTTTCCACTAGCGATATAGACATCGGAAATACAGACACGGTTAGACATAGGATAGATTTAGAGGATTTGACGCCGTTTAAGCAACGTTGTCGGAGAACCATACCAACTATGTTCGACGAAGTGCGGAATCATTTACAACAGCTTTTCGTTGCAGGGATTATTCAGCGTTCCCACTCTCCATGGGCATCTAACGTTGTGTTGGTGAGGAAGAAGAATGGGTCACTGCGTATGTGCGTGGACTACCGCCAACTTAACCAACGGACAGTGAAGGATGCTTACGCCCTCCCTAGAGTGGACGAGATGCTAGACTCCTTGGCTGGTAACCGGTACTTTTCTGTCATCGACATGAAATCCGGTTATCATCAAGTTGAGCTTCATGAAGACCACAAGGAACGAACTGCCTTCACTGTTGGCCCTTTGGGGTTTTATGAGTATAACCGGATGCCTTTCGGATTGGCCAATGCACCCGCCATTTACCAACGGTTGATGGAGGATGTGATGGGTGAATTACACACTACCATATGTTACGTGTACATTGATGACGTGATTGTGTTTGCCAAGGACTATGAGGGACACCTTGACAACTTGGAGAAAGTCTTCAAGCGAATATCCGATGCAGGGTTGAAGTTGTCACCAGAGAAGTGCTCGTTGTTCCAGCGGAAAGTAAAGTATGTCGGACATGTGGTATCCGAGGAAGGGATTGAGCCTGATCCGGACAAAGTGGAGAAAGTGAAGAACTGGCCACGCCCACAGAATCCAGAGGATGTAAGACGCTTCCTAGGATTTATTGGGTATTATCGACGCTTCATAAAGAATTTCAGCCGGGTAGCCAAGCCCTTAACTATTCTGATGCCAGTACCACTGAAGACTACAAAAGGAGGAAAGAAGAAGGGTCAAAATGTGCAGTCCTGGACATGGGAGACGGAGCAGGAAGAATCTTTTGAAGCTCTGAAGTCATGTCTCTCCGGACCTCCGATAATGAGTTATCCAGACTTCAGCCAACCTTTTGAATTGCACACTGATGCGTCGCTGTTGGGTTTGGGTGCCATTCTCTACCAGGAACATGACAACCGCAAGAGAGTCATTGCATATGCAAGCCGTGGACTTTCCAAGTCAGAGAAAAGGTACCCAGCTCATAAATTAGAATTTCTTGCGATGAAGTGGGCAGTGACTGAGAAGTTTGGGGATTACTTGGTTGGACGACATTTTACCGTACTTACGGATAATAATCCGTTGACTTATGTACTGACGTCTGCGAAATTAGACGCGACATCACAGAGATGGGTAGCGGCTCTGGGATCGTATGATTTTGACATTGTGTATCGACCAGGGACCAGCAATGCAGATGCGGATGCAATGTCACGACACCCCTTGTTGGAAGACAGAACAGATTCAGGCATAATTTCCAACCAAACGATCAAGGCCATTAACAATGGGATACACTGTAACACTTTCATCGACACTCTTTCCATGTCAGCAGCTACTTTAGATGCCATAAGTGACCCAGATGTTACTGGAACAGAGGACATTATCGCCGCTCAAGGTCAAGACCCTGTGTTATCTACATGGATTCCGCTCGTCAAAGCTGGTATTCGACCAAAGCGACAAGATCTCCCTCCTTCACAAGAACACTCAGTTTTTTTGAAACATTTTGAGAAGCTCAGACTGAAGGATGGTGTACTTTGTAGAGAGACTCAGCGGAATGGGGAACTGACTATTACGCAAGTGTTACCCCGATGCAAGATCGCCACAGTCATCACTATGGTGCATAACGACATGGGACACCAAGGACGAGACCGGACACTTTCACTGCTCCAGGATCGATTTTACTGGGTAGGCATGGGACGAGATGTGGAAAAGTGGGTTAAGCATTGTGAGAGATGTATACGCATGAAAACACCGACTAACATCAGAGCGCCATTGGTAAGTATCAGGACTTGTCAGCCTCTTGAACTTGTCTGTATGGACTTTGTAAGTTTGGAGAAGTCCAAGGGTGGACATGACAGTATCCTAGTCATCACGGACCATTTTACCAGGTATGCTGTCGCGATTCCGACCAAGGATCAAAAAGCCCGTACTGTAGCGGAAGTATTTTTTAACAACTTTGTTGTCCACTATGGATTACCGCAACGGATTCACACGGACCAAGGCCAAAATTTCATGAGTCATCTGATGAAGGAACTGTGCGCCGTGACAGGGATAGATAAGTCGAACACTACGCCATATCATCCTATGGGAAACGGACTTTGTGAGCGATTTAATCGGACACTCATTGGAGTGCTTGGAACTTTATCAGGAAAGCGCAAACAAGATTGGAAGTCTAATACTGCAGCGTTGGTGCATGCATACAACTGCACTCGCCAGGAATCAACAGGACAGACGCCTTATTTCCTTATGTTTGGGAGAAATCCAAGGATCCCAGTGGATTTAGCATTTGGAGTATTAACGGAAAAACCCACAGGAACAATGACGGCGTATGTAGAAGCTTTAAGACAACGGCTCAAGAAGGCCTATACACTTGCGTCATCAAGTTCCAACTACGCCAAAACAAGACAGAAGACGAATTACGACACTAAGGTACGTGGAGCTACTCTCACAGTAGGCGACCGAGTTTTGGTTAAGGTTGTCGCGTTCGACGGTAAGCACAAGATCGCCGACAAGTGGGAGGAAGTTCCGTATCTTGTGAAACGTAAACCTAACCAGGACGTTCCGGTATTTGATGTACAGAGGGAAGATGGAGAAGGCAGGATCAGGACCCTACATAGAAATCTGCTACTCCCGATTACTTTTTTACCAGGACGTGTAACACCTACACCCGCTCCAAGACGTCAGCGACCCCGCCAGACGAAAGAGATTGAACTCGTTGTATCGGATGAGGAAGATGGATCTGAGTCGTCGTCGGATGAGGAAATGATGGTTGTCAGAATGGATAAGATAGATGATATCTCCGATGACACCAGCATTCAGGAAGACATTGTCGTTGATGAGTCAGAGTAGGAGGGGACGCCCTCTCAGAAGAGTTGGAGGCGGAAGTGAAGGAGTTTCCTGGGGAGGAGCAACCAGAAGACATTTCGTCGGATGATAGTAATAAGGAAAGTTCACATCAGCTAAGACGGTCACAGAGAGATCGGAGGAAACCTGAGTGGTTACAGAGTGGAGCCTATGTATGCTCACAGCAACAAGGGGAACCTGAGTGGATATCCCGGGCTCACTTTTTGACTCAGCTGTCATCCTCCGATGTCTTCAAAGACAAGGGGGAGGAGGTCGCCATGGCGCTTCTCCATATCATTACAGGAAAATAAGTGTGTTTTAATTTTGTTTTTTTAAGTCGGTGTGGTTTTTTTTGGATTTATAGTTTATTATACTTGTTTTTACAGAAGTACCAGCAACTCGGAAGTTGCTAGTGCAAGTCCAAGTGTGAGTTTCAGGGTTATTGTTGCCTGTTAGTCATGCATTGTGCTATTTTTTGTATGTTATGTATATTTACAAGTTCAATTTCAGGAATACATATATGTGAGATGCCAGATATGGAGTTCAAGTATACCATCTTAATTATGATTAAATATTTCAGGGTATTAATGTAGTTATGAAGTAATTATACCTTAAGTACTGATTTGTTACTAATTTTCAGTTTTGTTTCAGTTTAGTTTGTCGTGGACGACATTCCACAAAGCAGGGGAGGATGTAACAGGGATATAATTAATGTATTTGCTTGTATGTATGTTTGTTTACTAAGTCCGTCCGTAGCGCGTCGACTGTCCATGTATATATTTCATACTCCGAGTAATGTAACTACCGCGTCCGCGTGTTGTATTCTATACTGTGATGTTATGTCTATAGGTGTATTGTGGTATTCTGCTCGTTACGTATGTTGATATGTTGGTATACCATACAGTTGTTCATTGGTCAGTAGTGTTACGTCAAGTTGTGTATGCGTTTTCATTGGTTCGTTCTGGGTGGTCAGTTTTGGCGCGTGTTTCTTTGTGGGCAAATAAATCACGCTAGTACCTTTTGAGGACTCGTAGTTGACGGACGGAGAGATGTAATGTAAGTGTTTCTTTGTCTTTGTGTAATACCCAACGTATATGTATTATGTGTTTTATTTGAGATATAATTCTATTTGGATCTAATCTAAGTATAGATGATTTGTTATTCCTTTAATAAGAAATCAGATATGATTAATGTATTTTTTTTATATGAAAACGTAATAATGGAGGTGATGTAATTTGATTTTTTTGTAAGAGGCGTTATTACGTTGTGCCCATTTGACTAAGGTTCGATAAATTTATTTAGATGTCTTTATTGCATACGATTGAAGAAGGCGTCGTAATTATACAAATAGATAGTAGCCAAGGCCTTGTGCCACACTCAGGTATGCTATTGTGTTTTTTATGTAAGAGTATATATATAGTATTGATTTGAGAAGGTATAGGTCGCTAGACTGCTAACTGTGAATTTAATATATTGTCCAGTAACTTTGTTTTGAGTCAAATCTTCAGTTTGATTGTATTTCATAAAAGTTGTAATTGTAATGTGTATTGCCTTATAGTTGATTTGTAAGGGTAAAAGTTATGAAATCGTGTAAGAGTTATTTCCCTTGCATTTGTACTATTAAATATGATTATGTGTGTCTATTTTATATATATATATGACTGTAGCTTGTACTTTGTACTTGTTGCAGGGTTCTTTTGGTTTTATAACGAGCAATAAAATGACAGTGAACAAAACCCAGAGGAGTTGTTCTACATCTCACAACAAAACCACCTCTATTACAAACATGAAAACATACTGTCTTTCATATTGCAAAGAATACTTTTTCTGCAAAATATGATTTGTTTTATATTTCAGTAGATCAAAAGGGAGCAAAAAGTGATCGTGGTCTTCAAAGAGAAGCAAGTATTCCTGGCTTCATCGAAAACAACGGTTAGATTGTAATTAAGCCCTTCATTTTAATCTCCATACTTTCTGTGAATATGAAAATAAATTTTCTTTAATATGAAGATGTATAACATTCCATATAATAGTATTGTAATTGTTTACTTCATAAGGTCAAAAGGGAGAAAAGGGTGATCGTGGACCTAAAGGAGACGCCGGTATACCTGGTTTTAACGGGGACGATGGATACGATGGTAATAGACAAACATATTATTTTTTAATTAAGGGTTATTTCCATCAAAATATTTTCATTATGACCGTGGTCTATATCAGAATTAGCTTCGTCAGGTCTCATTTGTGGACCTGTGAATTTTCGAGCTAGTGATTTCAGAAAATATTAAACCCGTAGTAGTCGACCATCAGGCGCCTGCTTGAGATCCCTATAGTTTCGTTTTTTTTTGTTTTTTTTAATGTCCTATCAACAGCTAAGGTCATTTGGGGACGTGCCTCAATTCGTGTTGTGTATGCGTAAATGTGTGTATGTGTGGCGGTTTCAGGTGTGTTTTAGTTTCACAAACAAACATGATGAACCTGTCATACTAGGGAATACCAGAGTAGTACGGATGTGGTTGAATTTATTAAGTATGAATTTTGGTGGTTTAGAAAAGATGAATCTCATTTTTATTCTCTCAAGGTCATAAAGGTGAAAAGGGTGATCCTGGGATTAAAGGAGACGCCGGTATCTCTGGTTTCAATGGGGACGATGGAATAGACGGTAATTGCAATTAAATTTTCTTACGTAAAAGACACATATTTTATATAATAACAGACTTCAAAATGTTTAGTATATCATTTGAATTGTGTTCAGGTATTATTGTAAAACATCACAACGGTCCAAAAGGATATACAAGCAATTATAAACCCTTGTGAGGTATAGTCAGACACTCCCGCCGATTATGTTTCCTGTCCCATATGACACATGTAACCTATTGTTTGGCTTGGTTCAAAATGACTCACGTTCTCTGATTGGATAATCTTGCAATAGTTTGTTAGTGGTTCTGCATCTTCACCAAAGCTGTTTAAAGACGATGGTACAATTTTATAGTACGATCTCTCTCACATATCATAACCTGGACGCGGCTACATGGCACTCAACACGGTCACAAGTATAGGAACCAACAGATTCTTAAATTGCAGTTACATATACAAATTTATTTTCTCAAATGTCTCACAGAAGAAAATCAGATTCTACAGTTGCCCTGCTTCAGTCTCAGTGCTTCGATTATGCAGACGGATACAATGGTAGCAGGTCTGACATTTGCTCCTTCGAGGACGTCAAACACTGAGCAAAACAAAAGATACATCAGATATTTTAATCGTTTATGACCTACCGAACTTAACTGTTTTTAGACTGGACCCTTATGTCAATGTAAAGGGGTATTATTGTTCTATATAATACATAACATGATACATGTAATCAATTATAACAGGTCCAAAAGGAGGAAAAGGTGAACCTGGCAATTCTGGAATACAAGGCCAGAAAGGGAATACAGGGACGACTGGACCAGGAGGACATAAAGGGAATACAGGGGACACTGGACCAACAGGACAAAAAGGAGATACAGGAATACCTGGACCAGCAGGACAAAAGGGCATAGGGGCGCCAGGAACAGTTGGGCTGAAAGGAGATTCAGGGACGCCTGGACTAGCAGGACTGAAAGGAGATTCGGGGACGCCTGGACTAGCCGGACTGAAAGGGACATCTGGTATACAGGGGCCAATAGGACCTACAGGGTTGAAGGGACAAAAGGGGTTGAAAGGGGATGTATGCCCTATGGGTGAGTTGTTTTACTGAAAAAGTCACTTTTATATACACCTGTGGAAGTCGATTATACAGAAAAAATATACATGTGCGTGCTGTTACCAGATTCATGTTGTAAGAGGCAACTAATATGTGCATCCCCGAAGAAGAGTGTTTTTGCTTTTGCGACAAACAAGATTCTACAAAGCGATTGTACTAAATGTTACCTTACCAAACGTAATTATATTTAAGAGTATACGTATATAAGGAGACACTGTAGTCTAGTGGTAGGACACCGGGCTCGTGAAAGAAGGGTTGCGTGTTCGAGTCACGGCACGGCACTGTGTTGTATCTTTGCTTGTTGCAGTCGACTCAGCTGTAAATGAGTACGTGGTAGGGCAGTGCTAGAATTGTTGAATGCTAGCTGTTATCGCCGAAATGGCAGAACCGACTGTAAGCTCCCCAGTGAGTTGAGAAAGGTATTGGCTCGATGCAAAGGCCCTATAACCACTGATAATAATTTGTGAACCGTATTTAGGTTGTGATTAGTGGTTAACAAGAACCTCGAATTATTATTATTTTTATTATTATATAATATGTTAAAACATCAGTAAAAATTGAATAGCATTTGTTATTTTACAGACGCACAAATCGCATTTTATGCCAGATTTTACCAAACCATCAATGCCATGTCCAATGAAGTGATCGCATTTCCTAATATAGGGACGAAAATTGGAACATCATACGAGAGGTCTGGCCTCTTCACATGTAAAGTGACAGGTATTTACGTATTCACGTGGTCTATAGAGGTGAATTCTGAACACACTCTCAAAACACTCCTGATGGTCAACGGAAGTGAACGTGGCCAGCTGATTGTTCAGGGTTCAGTCAGCAATGGGAACATCGGTTCTACGACTGTAGTTATACGGCTGAGTGTCACTGATCGTGTCCTTATCTTGCAAGATTCCGTTTCACCTGGGACTATTTTAGGAAATTCCTCTTCGTTTTCAGGTTTCTTTTTACATCCAGTATAAACCAAGAAAATATCGGGGTGGTTTCGGATATTTAAAGTATTCCGGATGTGTTTTGCTAATTTGAAACAGTTAAGGCCATATCAGGACAGTGTGCGCAAATGATGCGGTATTCCTGAAATGTCTAGGACATGAACTCGTTATGCTTCTATCTGTCACACTAACAACGAGCTACACGTGCCCAGAAAAACGCCACCGAAAAGACAGTAGATGCACACTCGTATATATACATATATCATAATCTACCATAATCTATATTTTGAATTGATAGTCAATCTATAATAATATAAAGACATGTAGATTATATCTTTTCTTGGAGTTTTAGTGGATAATCGTGAAGGAGAGATATAGAGGTAGCGACGACTACTTTGGGTAGACATCTTTCTCTTCTACCCCATGTTTTTGTTTTGTTTGTTTTTGTATTGGTTTAGGACCAACAACACTGTAAAAAAGACATTTACGAAAGCTAACACACCAAACCAAAACTTAATAGCATAAATTATGTAAATACATCAATATCGAACAAATTGGCTGCACAATGTATCATATTTTATTGTAAAGATCAATAGAGTGTTAATAGTTATATATCAATTGCACAGAAACTGTATCGAACATAAATATACGTTACATACTCCTTTCCTGTAAAATCTCCTGTGAATTTAGTAGTTAAACGATTGGTTAAGTTTCCTTTGTTTAGGGTCCTATTAAGATTTAAGGTGATTTAAGGACGTACCTCCATGTGTGTTGTGTAAGAGTGAAGGTGGTGCCGGGGAAGGGTTTGTTGGTGTGCTTGCCTCCTTGTGATAGCGCCAATCCGATACCGATTTGATAGTGCTATCTCACTGGAATAGCAGTTGCAATGCTAAATCTGTCCTCGAGTTACTGAGTCTATATCTATATCTTATGGACATGACAACCAAAATCAAATATCACCGTCCCTCTACATGCCTAGGTCTTATAAAGGGTCACGACCTCCACTAAAGTGCACTGCTGTGTTACCTCTAGTGCACAGGATTATAAACTCCAGTGCACACTAGTGTTAACTCCGGTGCTGTACATCGTTTACTAGTTTATAAGACTGAAGTACATATTTCATTTATCTCAGATTTCATTTATCTATTTATAATGAATGGGTTAATTTCATAATATGGCTCTTTTAAATGAATAATAAAAAGTCATATAACCGAGAATTATATAATATCAGTAGACATACATTATGTACTTTTCCGATTGGTTTATCATTTCAACAGGGTATATGTTAACAAGGAAAAAAACAGTACGCTATATCCGGGGATTGAAGAAAATGTATAGACCACTGTATGACTTGCAAGTAAACCAGTTTAAAAGTACAGTTTGAAAAAAGCTTAATCCGAACCGCATTCATTTCAATGGTGTAGCATTATATTTTTGCTATTATAATATTATGATAATTCTGTTTTGGTGCAAATGTGGATGTGAACATTGGTGGTGTTGTCTGGCTGCATGCATATGCTTTTAGTAACTGTGGATGAAAAATAGAGACTAGATAGTATCAATGAACATGAAAAACATGACAACAAAGAATAATTTACTCGTCATTGTATATTATGATTTTTGATTCACGGGTTCCATCATAGGTTACAAAAATGTTTGTTACCAGGTAAAAATGTTTATATAAACAAATCAAGAAGAAAATATATTTCAGAGTAATTTTATACAAAGTATCATAGCATACATAGATAAATGGTAAACCTAAAGATGTGTATGATCAATATCAGTTTCTCAGTTTAAACTTAAATGGTAGGAAAAAACAACTGTAGGATATAATTTTATCCAGATGAATTAGTTGAATGATTAACAAATGACGACATCTTGTTTACCATTAAACGGTCAAATAATGATTCCTTTTTCAATCTCAGGGAGCCACAAGTTTTAATAAAAACAATGGGTTTTTTTTAAAGCGGAGGTGCATGGACACATTCTTAATATGTAAAATGTTGATGTGTACGCCTACAATTGTTTTATTTTTTGATAAATATTGGACATAATTATGCTGAATGATGTTTGGTTTCCTTACCAAACAACAATAGTAAATATCATCCTGATGTATCCTGGTAAATTTCATAAAGAGCGACTTGTGTTGGGACCCTGCAGAATAGCTGTCTTCAAGGGCACTTTTCTTTGAATGACTTTAGGATTCTGGGTCTTCCAGGGCACCTGTCTTTAAATGACCTTAAGATTCTGGGTCTTCGAGGGCACCTGTCTTTAAATGACCTTAAGATTCTGGGTTTTCCAGCGCACCTGTCTTTAAATGACCTTAGGATTCTGGGTCTTCCAGCGCACCTGTCCTTAAATGACCTTATCTTTTGCGAAGCCGTTGAACTTAAAACGAATAAGCAATTCAGAACGGAACCAAATTTTGTTCCAAACCGTTGATTTAACCAGTTGTCAATAATCTATTGAGAGCTTACCATATCTTGATAGTTATGTCAATTAGGTATATAATAATTTGCGAGGACGTTAAACAACAACATACAAATATGAAGAAATATGCGAAGAGAAACTCTATCAAAAGGGGTGAGTACGCAAGAAAGAAAAGATAAATGTTTTTTTTTCTGACTGGGGCGCTGATAAGAAAGTATTACTAAGAATCTATAGAGCACTTATAAGATCCCAACTGGATTATGGGTACATTGTGTAAGGATCCGCAAGAGAGTCGTACCTAAAACTGTTGGATACCGTATCCCATCAGGGTCTAAGACTTTCAAAGCTACGCCAGTTGCTAGTCTCTACGTGGAAGCAAACGAACCATCACTATATAATCGTCGAGAGAAACTGTCATTGCAGTATACAATTCAATTAAAATAAAATCCTTCAAATCCATCCTATTCATTCGTATTCAATCCAAATTATGAAACTGTATTGCAAAACAATGCAAAATGTATTCCAACCTTTGGTATTCGCATTAAGTCCCTCTTGGAAAAAGCTAAAATAAATGTCGATGCTATTCAATCAATTGCAACAATTGATGTTCCTCCATGGCTTATGACTTCGCCCAAGGTTGACTTTACACTCCATGAAACAGTAAAATCTGACACTGATACTTATGACTTTCGTTTATCCTTTTCGAAATTGCAGTTGAAATATAAGGACTTTAAATCATTCTATACTGATGGTTCGAAAGACGATCATAAAGTCGCCGCACCCATAGTTGCAACAGTTGCCGCTTTTAGATGCCGGTTACCAAATGATGCATCAATATTTTCTGCAAGAGCCCACGCTATCTATCTGGCCCTTGAACACATTAAATCAAGTGGTGTACCGAAGTCGATAATTTTGAGGTTTTTGAAGTAAAACTTATTTTCATGATGTAATACTTACCTCTTCTTCCCTCCTTGGTCATGTCAGACGACGAGTTTGGCCGGGAGGACTGCAGTCCTCTCGGCTCAAGCTTAGGTCCTTCTACCGCAGAATTAGGCTTCGGGTCAGCAGACGATTCTCTTGCCTGGCAAGGTCTCGATCTGCCTCGACCAGATCTTCCTGTGGGGGGACGTCTTTCTGCTTTCCTTCCAGAGTGGAAGGGAATTACGGAAGACGCATGGGCCTTGTCTGTGATCAAGGAGGGGTTAGGCATTCCGCTAGTGCGGGATCCGCCCAAAGCGTCGGAGCCAATCTTTTTCCTCCACCGGGGGATCCGGAAAAGGCTCTGGCGCTCCAGGAGGAAGTAAGGACCATGCTTACCAAGGGCGCGGTCGAGGAGGTTCCTATGTCGGGATGCACTCCCGGGTTCTACTCCAGAATGTTTCTGGTTCGGAAGAAGTCCGGGGCGTGGCGTCCCATCATAGATCTAAGTGCCTTCAACAAGCACGTAGATTCTCCTCACTTCAAGATGGAGACTCCTCGGGGTATTATCGCCTCCGTGAGAGAGGGAATGTGGGCGACTTCAGTAGATCTAAAGGACGCCTACTTCCACATCCCCATCAAGAAGTCGGCACGGAAGTACCTCCGTTTTACTTGCAACGGAAAGGTCTTCCAGTTCCGGGCCATGCCGTTCGGGCTCACGACTGCACCTTTGGTTTTCACCAAGCTGCTGCAGGTGGTCGTGGGATTCCTGCACTCTCGAGGAATAGATGTTCCCATCTATTTCGACGACTCCCTCATGCTCCACCTAGTGAGAGAGTTTCTGGTGCAGGTCACTCGGTTGGTTCTGAAACTCTTACTCAAGGTCGGCTTCATTCCTTCCAGAGAAAAGTCGGAGGTTTCCCCATCTCAGGATTTTGTTTTTCTGGGGAACCGTTTCAATACGGTTCAGGGCATCGCCCTTCCACCGATGGGGAAGTTCGAGAATGCCAGGGCTTTTGCTGTGACCTTTATCGGCCGGTCTCAAGTCCAGGTACGTTGGTTTCTCAGTTTTCTGGGATATCTCAACGCCCTGGCCGATGTGGTCCCCTTAGGGAGACTTCACATCAGGCCTCTCCAGATGTTTCTCCTTGCCAACTGGGTCCCTTCTTCAAGGGATTGGGAAGCCTTGCTTCCTCTGAACCAGTCGGTCAAGGAGTACGCACGCTGGTGGACTCATCAGGACAATGTTCTCCGAGGGGTTCCTTTGTCCAAGCCAGTTCCCACTATGACCCTGTACACGGATGCATCCATGACAGGGTGGGGAGCTTATCTCGACGGGCGTTGCCAGTCGGGGGAGTGGTCTGGGGAACAGCTCTCGGAGCACAGCAATGTGCTCGAGATGAGGGCTGTTCTGTTGGCTCTGCAGTCTTTTCGGGAGATCCTGCATTCCAAGGTGGTTTGTGTGGCTACGGACAACACTACGGTTGTCGCGTATCTGGAGAGACAGGGGGGAACCAGGTCTCACACCCTGTGTGCCCTCGCTATCCGCATTCTGCTTCTATGTCAGGAAATGCAGTTGACAATTTGTGTCAAGCATCTACCAGGCAGGTTGAATGTTCTGGCGGATACTCTTTCCAGGCGCCGCCAGCCGGTTTTGACAGAGTGGCAACTGAATCCCTCGATTTTCGTGGGAATTTGTCAGGTGTGGGACAGGCCTCACATAGACCTGTTCGCCACTTCACTGAACAATCAGTTGCCAACGTTTGTCTCTCCGGTACCAGATCCAAGGGCTTGGGCCGTGGACGCTCTGTCTCTGGATTGGGAGGGAATGCATGCATATGCATTCCCACCCTTCAACATGGTGGGCAGGGTGCTGCAGAAGTTTCGGGAGCATCAGTGTTCCCTCCTCCTGATAGCGCCCCTGTGGCCGAGGCAGCCTTGGTTTCCGGAGCTTTTGTCGCTTCTGGTGGAAGAGCCCCTGGCTCTTCCTCTCAGAGCGAACCTCCTTCGCCAGCCTCGTTCCAGGACGATGCACTCTCGTCCGGAGATCCTCCACCTTCACGCGTGGAAGCTATCTCAGGAGGCCTCGCTCAGGCGGGCTTTTCTAGGGACGTGTCAGATCGCATCGCTCGATCAATTAGGGCTTCCTCATCTGCCGTCTACCAGTCACGATGGAAGATTTACTGTGATTGGTGTGTCGGCAGGAAGGT